ATAAAAAGCGTCATGTACATGTACATTCCAGATTTGTACGAAATGTGAGAAGTGTCTCTAGAAATCCTTGGAATTTTTTTGATAGTCTTTAAAAGTTGATAGTCTTTAAAACTCGGAGTTGCCAATAATAATGCTGTGGGGCTTTGATAAATTTGTTGAATCTGCTGTTAAGTGTTACTGCACATCATTGTTAATACAGCAGTGAAACAAGAAAGACTGCGTGGAAATGTTGCCGAGTGTAAAAAAGCATGAAATCTGATTTGATGACGGTGAATTAACAATCTTCAAAATGCACATTTCGAAGAAAAAGCCGATTTGGGGTCTCTCTGTGACCATGAGGAAGATTTCATCTTTACGCTGAGCTTAAAAATGTTTTAAAATAACACTATGCATTTGAGAATAAAAGACAAAGGGCTTTTTAAGCAGTGAACCTCTCAGCATATGTCTGTGTGAATTCAGTAAATACTACTGAAATTATATTCTTTCTCTTTAGATTTTATTTTGTTTCGTTGCGGCATTAAATATTATTGCATCAGAAGTGCAGAAAGGTGTACTTGTATCTTGCCCAAGTCATACGTAGATTGGTCGAAAAGCTAGATCAAGTACACCACAGGATCAAAGAAGTTGAAGCCAATAACTATCTGCACAACGCTTTACTACAGATTCCTTTAAATGAATATCTTCAGTCTGCCAATGATAAGGAGCTAGCTGTCTTGGCAGGTCTTGTTAGGGCCCAGAAGAACGTGACACGTCCGACGTTGACCATTTTTCACACTATCATACTCCCCTTCATCATGGTATGTGGTTCATTAGCACCTGTAGCGCGGAGGGGCCGGGGCCCCAAGAAACCCCCCAGCTCATGTTGTCGTGGGCAGCGATACGGGCTCAGCCCTAGCTTCTCCATTTCTCTAGAGCTCGTCTCCCTCTCTCTCTCTCTCTTTCTCACCCACCAGCCAGTTGACAAGACATGCAATAACGCGGTAGGCCTCGGGCAGTGTAAGAAATAGTTTGCCCAGGTTTTTTCCCATGGATGGCAGCACAACACTTGTTCCTGTCACTCTGCTGGCTGTTCCCTCTGGTTACTAATTAATATTGAATTCCGATGAACAACCAATGTACTTTTTTTTTTTTTTTTTTGGTGGTCAACCCCCCATGCTGATCATGCGTCCAGGGCGTGCTAACGCTACAGGTGTATAAAAAAAGGTGGACTGTTTTGCCTCCAAAGTTATATTATTTGTCAAACTTTAAAGGGAGCATACATGTACAACATTTGCTTTTGCTGTAATTTACATAAATTAATGGATTTGGAGGGTTTTTATTAATGTTACAGCAAATATTGATAAACTTACTTGTTTGACCTTTTGGGTTCGTAGATGCTGGAAAAACCGAGAAAAAAGAATCTTTTTTTTTTGTAGTCTGGTTCCCTGACCTACTTAAGTGGAAACGGAGCAATTTTTAAACGTCAGGGAATTGTAAGGTCAGGGAATCTGTCTAACTGACTTGTACCCGTTCACAGGTGTGTAATTGATTGCAAAGAAAATGCGGACTAACTTAAATATGATAATTTGGGAGCACTATTTGAAAAAAAGCCAGTTTTTTCTAACGATGGTTGGTCGACCAGTGTTGGAAATATTTACAAAAATAGCACTTTTCTTGAGAACGACAGCACACCAGGTGCCATGAGTTTACAGGATGCTTTAGACTGTCATTCACTAACAGTCCAGTAAGGTATTCCGTGATAATTTGGTCGTTTTATTTTTTGACGTTTGCAAATGTTGCATATTCCCTTTAAGTGACCATGAAGAAACATATGGTTTGCATGATATTTCGGAAGAACACAGAGAATTTTATAACTTTGTTTTTATATGATGCAACAGGATGTTTGGGTAGGCCTGATGATGCATCTTGAATTTGTGCGCATCCGTCACTTGCACTTTTAGGAATAGGAGTTCAGGATAAAAAATGGAATGCAAGTTGCTTTCATTTCTCGCTACATAAGAACAATATTATGACAAAAAATACTCACCATGCAAATTTCTTACCGAAGATACCCTATGTGTCAACACAAGGCGTTTCATACCATGTAAGAAAATGGACTGCAATGTGAATTGTCAACGGTCCCCAATCCTTAAGTTGACTTTCGTTTGTCCAGATGATGTGTAATTTAGCAACTCCAGAGAATGAAGCCCGGCAAATGAGGTTTTTTTTTTCTCCCCAGCAGAACATTAGACTTTCAAAGTCTGCTCTATCTAACCTTGAAACAATTCTTTTCCCTCTTCTTTTTTTTGCCTCAGCCAAATCCTTTTGGCGCAGAGAAGTTTTCCAGAAAGTGAGCAAATTAAAAAAAAAAAACAGAGAGCGCTTTAGCCAGGCAAGACAAAACAGCCGGATCATCCCACCACCGTCTGCACTGAGAACCAGCCAGGCGACACAAATTCCCCTTCATTGAATATGTTCAACCAGAGATGAAATTTGGATTACAAAGACAATTGATGGGCATTAGCAGGTCTCCATGATCCCCGCCAAAGAACCATTATCTCACAACCCACTGATTCCCTCTCCCCCCCCCCCCCCCTCTCCAGAATCCCCAAAACAAAAACAGGTAGAGAACAAAAAATACCTGGCCGGCTTAAATACCGGAGTATCAAAGCTGAATAGGCAACCTTAAACAATTGATAAGCCGGCTTAAAGTTTGGGGGACTGTTGGTTGGACCTTAAACAAAAGCTTCTGATCTATACAGTGGCGATGAGGGGGTACCTGGTAGAGAGACCATTAAACAAAATTGGACAGATAACAATAGAGGGGATGACTAAGAAACTATGAGGATTATGTAACTGTATTGGGATTTTTTGATTTGCATATGAAGAGCGTGTGCAATTCCAATAGGATTCTTCTCAAGCAACCAGCCCCCTCTTTTAAACTGTGTGTGTTGATTGGGGCTTAAGAAAAATCAGGTGTGTGTAATAGTGGAACACAGGTTGTCAGGACATGATTGTTGGCTGTGTGAAGTTGTACTATAAGGTAGCGCCCCATCTTCCTTGCTCTATGAATACCAACTACAATTGTCTGGAGTTATTTCAAAAGTAAGTTTGTGATGTAACCAGATGAAGAAATGAAAGGTTTGTTTGCTTTTCATTGGAGTTTTGTTAACTACAAGTTGCACATTTCTCCAGTTTCTGGGCCTGTTGTCGGTCCATGTCTTGTTCAAATGTGGGATCAGTGTGGCATGTTCATCAGCCCTACTCATTCCAGTCTGTTCACAGAGCTACATGTTGGACCCAGCTCGACGGTCTGATCACATCTGGATGAGGGGCCGCATTATTTCCTGCCACAGATTTCTTGGTGTCACTTCGGTCTTGGCATCCTGCCAGTATGTACGGGTCATACAAGTTTTCCCGTAGCTTTCAAAGGAGCCTAGTGAACTGTACCATTCAGTGGTCCAATTATCTTCCCGTACTAATTTCCATCTCAAATTCAACGTTGGTATGTGTATTCGCATGGTCTGTAAGAATCTGGTTGTATGACCACATTTTCTCGGAAGAACGAATCGAGATTCCCGTGAAGTACGGTGTGTCACCTTGAAGGCAATCAACTTTGATCCCTGATTCTCATTAAAAAGTGCTAAGTTTTGCAATCTACACTCGGGTTTTCTACACTCAGCTACATGTACCTATACAATCAGATGCATGTTGTTGGCAAAATGCCAATATCGTACATGTTTCTGCATGTTTACTGTTCCAGCCAATTCATTTAATTGTAATGAACTTGAGAAACTTTGCCAGAACGTTACGCAAAGTGCATACACCAAGAATTTAAGAATTATTCACAAATACCTGAAACAGTTTGCCCATTCCTATTGGTTGAGAGCCTGTCACGTGAGTGGTTTTAAACCGCCAGTAAAACACTGCTGCATTCTGTGCCACATCATGCAGTGCGCGCCGAACATGCGCCTGCACTTTTTATATAAGAAGGTTTTTAGCACTGCTTGCGCCAGACACATACCATAGACTTAACAAGAGGGGTGTCCACAAAACATGAAGTTAAATTGTTGAACAAAATCATTGACATTGTGTGAATTTTTGACTTGTTTTGACTTTTTGACCAAAAGGTAAATTTATGAATCGGAATAAATATGTGCTTGGCCATTATTAAACAAGTACGTTTAAAACCAACTAGGGGCCTGGTTGCAGACAATGTCCATCACCATTGGATCAGGCCACTTTCAGCCACCAAAAGACCCCAAGCTGGTTTTAAATGTACTTGTTTAAAACCAACCAAGCACATATATTCATTCCCTTAATTAATTGATATATGACTTGTGCTTGAGCAGGGGAGTGCCTCAGTAATAATGCAGAGAACAGTCAAAGTAACAGCCAACTCGGAATCGTTTACTGTACAGTGGGCGTGTCCAGTGGTTTGAAGAGGGCGGGTGTGACCATCTTGACAGTCTGGCCCTTGCAAATCCGCTGTGATGATGACACAAAAGCCCATGTAAATGGGTTTTGCCTTCATGTGCATGTTTAGGTCAGGTTACAATAACAAGTGGGTCACTACTACTGGCCACTAATCTGGTTGCTAATTGATTCACTTTAATTGATTCACTTTAATTGATTGATCTGGTGTTTGTCTCTCAACAGAGGAAGGACACAACCCCACCCCAATAAATCCTTTTATTTTAAGAGGGTAGAAAACAGTGACCGATTGTAGTAAAGCAGTTTTGACTTTTTCAGAGTTTGGTTGATATTCGGTAGTTTTGAGCATGGGCCACAGTGTTGTATTGATCTCAATTTTGTCGGTTTATATTTAATTCACACACGTAGTAAGTAGTCACTAACATGCACACCTCTTGAATAGGATTCAACCTGTCAGTTATTGTTCAGCCTTCATCAGGAATTGCTCAATGACCTTTAACCCTACAGGGGTCCTTGTGTATATATGTAATTAAATCAACATCTAATTACCAGTAATGTACTTATTAATTTTTTTTTTTTAATTACAGTTGAGTCTGTTGCCTTTGTGTAATTGGCCTTGCGCTGAGTCCTGGGAACTAAAGATTGAAGGTAAGTAAAAGACATTTTAGTCAGAAGGCCTGAGTATTTTGTAATGGACAGAGTTGTATCAAACTTTTACGTACGGTTGAGGAGGTGTTGTTGACTCGACAGAAAAATTGAATTCTGTGATTTTAGATTTCTAGTTTATCCTGTAATTTTTAGGCGAAATTTGCGGAAAACTATTCTAGTTTTGTCATGGTCATGCACCTTTGACTTGGTAAATTAACCCTCCTATTTAAAAAGTCACAGTCGAAAATTCAATCCTCTTCCCCTGCCATGCCTTTTATACAGGCTAGTCAACAACAGTCAGATCATATGTTAATCAAGCACTGTGACTAGTCAAATTTAGTCAACAGACAAAAGCAGGCAAGTTGTGGGCACAGCTGGCTTATCAATCACCTACAGTCAAAGCATAGCTGTATCGAGTTACTTGAACAGTCACAGCCAGTCAATCCTGCTTTATGTAGGCTGGGAACTCTTAACTGTTGAAAACAGTTACTTGATTGATTTTGACTGAAATGACAACTTGGCACAGAATGAATGTTTGCATAGGAGTGTTAAGCAGGTATTAGTGGAGCTTCCATAGTGAACATCAAGTAAAAACAAAAAACAGTCAAAACAAATTCAGGAAACACAAGTTTTCAGGAAATTTAGCACGCATTGATGTGAGGCTCACAATTAAGAGGAAGTCCAACATTTGAGCCATACTTCTGGGGCGATGTATAATAGATAACAGAATAATAGATGTCCTATTTTTTGACATAAACAGTGGAAACTGACTGGTTTCTTTTCCCCAAAACATGATACCCTTACAATCCGCTACAAAACTGTTCACAGACTGGTAGCCTGTCTAATTCACAGTGAGCTTTCCCCAACCAAATGTATGTTGTGTGCACAATGGATGATCATCAGGTTTATTGCATTAACAGTATCGCCCAGTACCGGCACTGTTTCCCCTTGTTGATGATTGCCAGCCGCCCTGTGTTTCTCCATTACATTTTTTTCCCCCCTTCTAATTGTGTATTGTTGCCGGTACATGTGCATTTACGTGCGGTTTGCACACCACTCCTCCATTATCTGTTTGCCGAAGAAGACAAAAAAAAAATATGATTGGCAGTGTCCTAGTGTTTGTCCACTGTGGATTCGCCTTCCGGGCTCAGACTATGCAGTGATCCAACTAAAGCTCGCCCAACATTAGCTGTGTACACTGCTGGAAAGCAAAAAAACCGAGGCGGTACATTATCAACCAGAGATCAAATAAGCAATATCACACCTGCTGTGATGTATTGGCTGATGCACTCCGACATTATTCCAATGCAAAGTGGAATAGCGCCCTCTGTGGTTGATTGGAAACAGTCAAATTGTTTATAATCTTGCCCGCGGAGTCGCGTTGAATAGAAAAATATGGTTCTTTCAGACGACCGCGATTTTTGTTGCATTTGTCTGATTCAATCAATAAAAATTATGCATTTCTGAGTTGGGACAGTCTACATAAATTTGTGTAGACACATGTGGTAAAGTGATATTGACCTGAATTGTTGCCGGATGTGTTCGAAACATCGTCCCATGTACGGTTGCCGGTGTGTGCAGAGAAAGGAAGACCTTTTTTTTTATTATGGTAGTGAGCTTTCCTGTGCCCTAAAACAGCGGACATTCGGTAATGAATGACTGTTTAATGCTGCCGTAAATGAACCTGAACTTCCGAGCTTCCTGACTGACATCAAGTGTAACTTGGAGGAAATTGATCAGATGCATGTGTACGTGCCTGTTACGTGCCTGAACAAAGTCAACTGGGCTTCTTGTCCCCATTGTAAATGGTAGTTGGTTTTTATTTTTCAATGCTTAGATCGTAGTCACCTACAATGTAAAATATGTGACGATCGATGACTAGCTCAGTTACGAAAGGGCCTAAAATGTCTTCAGTAATCATCAAAATAACAGAAAGAATTTTGCTTCTCTAAGAATATTTAGTGAGAAGAGTTTGTTGTTTTTTTGGTTTGTTTTTTTGGAAATTTTCTGTTTTATGATACAGAGAGAAACTGTTTGTACTAAGCAGGTACTGGGGTTTTTTTTTTTTGCAATCGGAGCAAATAATTGGTACAAAGTTATACAGTCCAAATCACCGACGTCATTCACTTCGGTTCCCTGTATCGCACACACGTCAGATTACCAGTTACACCGACTGTCGAAAGGTCCTCATGTCTCATCACTTAGAGTCATCTGAAGATCTCTGGAAAGAAATAGAAAGCGAACAAAAAAAAAAAAAAACATACATATTCCTCTTAATAAATTGACGAGAGGAACGGCCATTAAATTAAAGAAAACAGAGCAGCGTAACTGGCCGTTATTAACCATCCCCTGCGTTTCCCCCCAAAAAGCTACACTTTGAAGCAGACCTAATGACTGTAGGCTGTTGGCTTTTGTTGATTAATGAGATAAATCTAGGCCATGGGAATGCTGGGCTGTTTGTCTTCATCCCACATCAATTTTTTTTTCTTTTCGGGCTCCGCTCAATCTAACCCAATTTCCTCGGAGCTCGGGGTGAGGGGTCAGGCTAGCGTGGCTCCTATCACATTGCTCTATTAATTACCGTGATGAAAAGTTGAAGTTGTTGGCGAGTCAAAGGAGGGATGAAAAAAAATAATAGAAGTGGGGAGAATCAGAGACTTGAGAGTAGGGGGTAAAAAAAAAAAAGGGATGAGGCTGGCTAAACTGGCATTTATCGAATTAAGACTGGACATGATTCCGACTGATTATATTTGTGGTTGCAGGTTAGCCTCTTCTGATTGGCTGTAGTGTATCCGAGGATTGTTGACAATGAATGGCTGATTGAATTTCTTTTAAGAAATGTTCTGGCTCACTGTGTTTTCTTGAAGGACATATCATAAACATGAAATTTCACGTCCGTGCGGGGAATAGTTTGCAACTTCATCTCGGCTGCGAACGAATATTTCCAATTAAATTGCAAAAAAAAAAAAAAATCCAACAATTTCATTACTATGTACATGTACAGTATATGTAGGAGGAAGTGTTAGGTCAAGTTTTTCTGGAGCGGCTGTGATCTGTGTTGTCGGTAGGTGTGCCTTCCTTGGGTCTATCACAGCAAATCCCATGTGTCAAACCACGCTTCGTTGTTTTTGAAAAGAAACGCTGGTAGCTTTCACAATCTACAAATCGCACACTTTTTGGACCGCCCGAATCGTAGAGTTCAAATCCGTCGTGTTTGAAAAACAACAGAAACTCTGTCACTTGGGGGGGAAAAACCTGTTGGCAGGTAAATGTCACGTTGAGACTTGGAGTGGGAAAATGAATTTCTAAAAATGGTGATTACTCACCTGACTCTGCCTCCTCAAAAGTCTTCATTACCATGGCAATGCAAAGCGAGCATGAGGTTTTGATTTATGATAATCACGGCACGCCCTTCATGTATTTCCTGGCCTGATTTGGCCAATTAATCTTTGTACCTCGTCGTTTAAAACTGTTCGGAAACGTGAGTTGTTTTTTTCTTTTCTTCTGACTGTTATATGTCTTAGATGTCTGAGTCGGCTGTATGTTGAATTGTTAATGTTAATACATGTATTGGGTTTTACCCTTCAACAATTCATATTAGCAATGTGCTGCCTAAAAAACTTGTGACAACAAAAATCATAAGCTTTTCGGGTTGGACTTGAACCCACAACCTCCTGCTTGCTAGGCCACACTAACCCTAACCTTTCCTTCCCATTATTAAAATGCACATATCCCATAACTATGTAAAAAAAAGTACATGTTAAAGTTATCTATATATATAAGAGAGAGTTTAACTCGGCCTCCGAGACGATGTTTGCTCATGAAAGGATCCGAGACATCGGGCTCCCGCGGCGCCAAAATCGCTCCACGTCCGTGGAAAAATGCGGAGGGTGTCTTCCGCCGGGTCGGACACGCCGGGTCGTCCTGATTTTCCCGTACGGACCGGCGATCCTTTTCGACTATTTTTCGTGACTGCATTTTGCGCAGGAATTTGCCGTCGTGTGCGCTTTCACGTTGACTGCCTGGCCGCCCCCTGTGCTGGCTTTTCTGCGTGTCTAGACTGTGCGAGGTCAGCGGCTTCGACGTAGGGGTTCCGTTTACGTGTTCTACTCGGCCGTTCTGCAAAAGCGTTCACCAAATTGTGTATGGGGTGACCTTGGTAAAATATGTTTTCTCCATGGTGCGTGGCCACCAAGTGCCCCTACTCTTTCATGTGCTTCGCTTGCCGCCCCTGCGCCGAGTGCAACGAATACTCAGAAGGACTACACATTAAGTATGCCTTGCGCGGTCTGACCAATCGAAAGTCTACACTGCGTAGTATTTCCGGGCTATGCAAAACTGTCGATGGCAACGCGTACTGCAGCCTGCTCCACACCCTGCAAACGAGGTTGGGTCTACGGTGCTCGCTATTTGAAGCGAAAGCATGTGACGTCGCGTGACGTGTAGAGTGCTGTTGCTTCCATAATGTGTTTACAGCTCCATGCTTCCACCACCAAGGCTGAGCGTTGTGAGTTCGCTGCCCGCCACGTATAATTCAGTGTCACGTTATAATTTCGGGGGCCTGTTTGGGGTCACGTCACGTTATAATTTCGGGGGCCTGTTTGGGGTCAACGAAGGATCGATGCATTGCTTCAAATATCGCGATCTTAAACGAAGTCACAAAAAAATCGACGAAAAAGTGTCCCACCCGGCGGAAGACACCCACATTTTCCACGGACGTGAAGCCGCGGTCTCGGATCCTTTCAGGAGCAAACATTTCTCGGAGGCCGAGTAAAACTTGCTCTTATATAGATGGTTGAACCAACTTGAATAAAAGTTGAATCGACTTTTTCCTCGCAGACGGTCACGCAAATCGTAAGAAGTTCAAGTTTACGTTTGTTGAAGAGTTCAATACTGAAACTTAATTATGACCTTCCTCCGTGATTCAGACCGTTTGTAATTTTATGGTAACACTCAACATTTTCATTTTAAATGACACCTTCACGTTTTATTGCATTATG